CCCATAGCGACGTTACCATCACTAGAATAGCATAACAAGTGGCCCCGGATAAAAGATGGTGCACTCCTTTTATATACCACTGCATCCACCACTTGCGCACACACCCAGCACAAGCATTCATTCAAACAAAAGACCTCCTTGGCTTAAGAAATAACTTACCTTTGTCCCCCCTGGTACAACTCAAACCCACGAAACCAAAAGCCCAAAATGCTAATTACATGTAAAGGAAGTTAAGCAGAATGAAAAGAAATAGCCCTCTAACTTCAATTGGTATTCAAAACTGGGGATAAAAACATTTGCACATGAATACAAGACCTAAGTTGGCTGAGCTCTGACAACATTACGTTTAGAGAGAGAATGTATTGCATTGGCAGTATGTAATGCCTACTCTCAAGCTAATAATATTTATTTATGTACATCAATAATGGAAGGTAACGAGCTGTTGAAGTATTATGTGCATGATCTATCTCATAAATTCAGTCTTTCCTCTGCTCCAGTCATTCCAGAGTAACTCTTGTTTTCATCAAATGCTAACCCATCTAATTTTAACTATTTCTTCTTTTACAGTGACAAGTTGAAGTATTGTCTCAAAAGAGATTATCCTGAGCTCTGCTCCCACGAACCATTCTGGAAAAACAAGTGTGAGTTTGTCAACTCCTCCACATTGTCATCAAGAAGTGTGGCCGAATCTCTGGACACTCCGGAGGATATTTATCATCCAACACGTTTTATTTGGAAAGTGGTAAAGATGCTCCCACCTCTTCGTACGCTTTTACAGGACAGGGTGACTGTGTAATTGATTTTTTTATGGATACCACTGACAAAATGTTCCAGGGTTCCAATTTGGAGGCCTCTTCAGTGTTGTCTTTCAAAGAAGCACAAAGTATCAGGATTTCGTAGCTGTCCTGTTCATCTAGAGTTGTTTCTTTTACCTTTGCATAATGGCATTTTATTTGCATGTAGACACATAGTATTAGATGAACATCTAGATTAATGTGCTCTTTTGATGATCAATTTAACTAACCAGTGAGAATAACTTTTTGGGGGACTTTTTTTTTAATTTGTTTCATAATCATATGGCTCAGGTTCAGATAATCGCATCAAAGTCTGAATTACAGTCGTTTGAATTGGAATTGGAAGTCATTTTTAATTGGTTGGGGGGGCCAAGAAACATAATTACATTATGAGTACATTGAGACCCGTAGGTGGTTTTTTTTTGTCTGCAGTTTATTGCATTTTCATCTCCATTTCGAATATCAAGCCCCCTTGGTATCTGTACGGAACAAAACTAATTAACTGAACTTTTGACATAATGTTTGGGATGTACAGAGCCTCACATTTATGCATTCAAAAAGTATTCTCAGCATTGCTGGAACGGAACTCATTTTTACAGCCTGATTTAATTTTTAGTCTCGGGTACGTGTCGGCCTATTGTGACAAAGACGCAAGCCAGATTAGCGCTGGTTTGCTGAACTTTCTATTTCAGCCGGAAAGCAGTAGGTGTGGAAGACATCTTGAACTACATGTATAGGGAGAACAGTTCTTTTTACAAAACGACAAGGAGGATCATTGCTTCCTAATCACCGGTTGCTGTCCGGAAAGGCGCCCTGAAACCCATGTCCCGGGCAGTGACTTTGTATTTACTAGTAAGACAATGTTCCATCCAGATTTGCCTAAATAGAGATCAATTTAGGCCGATTCGTACTCCATGCAAATGTCTAGTGATCTTGCTGTCACAAAAAAAGTTCACTCATTTGGAATGTGTTCAATATGGCTGAGAATTTCGCAGCACGACTGTAAACCAAAATTCCGATTCGTCATGGGCCTTTAGATCCGCTCACCTGAGCAATAAGACTGGGTTGCATGCACATGGCCCCAATGCCCTCAAAGGTCACCAGGTTTAGCTTTTCAAGTGCTTGACCGTGACTGGCTGGCAGTCAACTTGAATGTGTGTGAGCTTTCGAGCCTTTCATGGTGAGGGTGGCAGCGTGTCTACAATACAGCGCACACAGGCTTACAATAGATGCCATGAAAAGTTCCGTGTGTAGGATTCCTGCTTGTGAAGTACTGTTAAATGGAACAGCGGTGTACGTATACTCACCTCCACTTCCAGGAGAGCTTTAAGGTAATGGTAAGTGGGCTGTATTTACCGTTACCGATGGTGTGCATATAATTGGACTTGCTGTTGTATACAACACAGACTCTTAGCAACACCAAGCGCTGCGTGTGTGCAATTATGACCTTAGTGATTTTTTCCACATTCACTGTGTACATCCAATAGCTAGGTAAATGTACATGTGACGTACATGTATGTATGGTTTGTCTCAGAATATTATAGAGGGAAGATGCGTTGCTGGCTTCTCCATGGTGTCTCAGAGTCTGTTCTTGTTATTTTAATTAGTTACCATGGATGCAAAAAGGTTTACTCAAGCTTATCCGAATGCCACCAAACTCTTGCCAAGTGAGGACACGTTAATTAACTCTAAAAGACCCCGGTTAGTTTGGCCCATTTCAAGGCCGGACCACTCCCAAGAGCTTGGCTGTGCCCTGCTTCATTTTCTTTGGGCTTGACATGCACGTAAAAACACTCGTTTGAGCCTTATCAGTTCATGACGTTAGCCTACCCAGCTTAGAATTAGAAAAAATTGCGTCCCGATCTCGAAGGCCAAAGATTTCTGCGTAAAATGCGGCGTTTAGGTGGTTGTAACATTCCTTCAAGACACGCTAGTAGATTATTTGTATAACAACTACCCTTATTCAGATATTTTTGAGCATGTATCCTGTAAATTTTCAGTTTGGGTGAGAAATGGGCCAAATTCTAAGACTAAAGCGAGCGTACACATCATGCATAGTGACGGTATACCATGTGCTGGCGACAATGTGCAACACGTCGGGGAAACTTTAAATTGGCCCAAATATTTTGCTTAGGCCAAAAAAATCTTCAGCATCTGGTTTCTGTTTTTCCAGAAAAGATGTACCCATAACGCGCGTTGTCCACTGCAACTGCATGCGCACGTAATGCCTGCCACTACCAACACTTAAATAGTCTGGCCCCCACAATTTTTAATGTTTAAAAAACATAATCTTGTACAAGAACACAGGATATAAGACCACCTCGTTTGTTTAGTTCCCCGATGTAAAATGCATCATACAGAAATGACGTCATCTGAAGAAGAGTGCCCAACTAAATGTATGAAAAACTAAAGGGACTCTTTTACTGTACATATTAATCGACCGTACCCCATCAAAAACACGTTAAAATTACACATGCAGTGGAAGGATTCCAGTCGATTATAAGCAAGTCTGTCACTTTTTGGACATCGTTTTATACCAATTTTTTATATATATATATTGCAGACGCTCAGGTCTACAGCGACGTGCGCACTGACCAGAAACCAGAGACTTTTTTGACCTTATGTGCTCATTGCAATTTCCCGGCCACTGCCTCAGACTATAGAAGGATATTTAGGAGTGCTTCACTCAAACCGTCTTTGAGAAATGTTAAATGCGATGTTGGCTGGTGTTTCATTTTGAAAACGTCGCGAACATGAAGTTTGTTGACAGGTTGAAGGCTATTTCCATAACTTCCGCCGATCACCAATCAAGGGATATGAATAATGCATATCTATCATTACCATTGTCTAGTGCCGCCCCTTGTCAAACAAAACAATATCCAAGACCTTCCTATGTGGTTCGTGTTGCGGAACAGCTATGGGAGGTCTTTGAACCAAGATTAGGCCGTGGTTTGAAATCACACATCGTGCGACTAGACGTGCACTTGGACAAAAAGACTTGTGACTTGCTTGGGCTTGGACCAAAATGCATTGTGAGTTGACTTTACTTGATCTGTGATCAAATGACTTGTGACTTGACTTGTGACTAGAGCAAATGATTTATGACTGAGCGGGAACTTGCAAAAATTGACTTGTTACTTGACTTGGACTTGCAAAAATTGACTCGTTAACACATCTGGCAATCAGATGTAAAATCATACCTTAAGTGTTCAAGTTTCAATACTTCATTTCACAGGTTTTGCAAGAAAAACAATATGATGGTTAGATCCTGCGTATGCAAACGGTCATGGTATAGCGTTACACACAGTGAAAAGCTATTACATGTACTGCTATATCTTATTCACTAGAGTTGCACAAGTTTTTTACCAGTCATTAATGTCGCACTAAGATTTATTTGCTATAAAGAGCTTTGACTAATCCTAGTTATTAAATCAGAGTCTTCAGTTCCTAGCAATGGAAGGACCTGGTTGAAGTTAGTGGGGTTGCGTTTTCAACTTGTTTTGTCTCTGTACTTTCAGATCAAGAGTAGGCTGAGTTATGGATAAATGTAACCCCGCCCCAACACAGGAATATGCAAATTCGGGCCAGCAGGCGCCAACCAATGCGGACCTGACCACACCCTCCACCAATAGGATTGATCCTGGTCGCCAGACAGGTGCCAGTGAAGCGAATGAAGTAGACACACCGCCAAAGGGACCCAAATTCACCTATTACCAGAAGGCCACTTTTGCCAGTGCAGTGCTGGCGAATCTGGCGAATTATATGGCCTTCTCCATCATAAGTGTCTTCTACCCAATAAATGTAAGAATTTACCTCTGTACCGAATTGATATACCTACTTAATTGTTCCATCATAGGGCCTGGTTTTTACTCCAATGAAAAATACAGCTGCATTCTACAATTTTGAGACGTTGAAAAATTATTTCTTTTTCAAACATTGTTCTTAGAAGCCTGTCAATTTTGCATAGTTTTTGCAAATATAACTTTTTCTAAATAACAGACCTTACAGCAGAAGTTTAAAAGAGAGAATGCTAGGAATGATTCTAAAAGAAAGATAAACACCCATGAAATGGACATTTTATATTTCATTTCTGGTTTTAGTAAATCAAAGAAACCTACAATGTAGGCCAGGGGACTCCAGCATCAGTGACGTCATTAACAGTAACTTTTTGAAATTTGCTTGCACATATCTTTAGAATTTGACACGATTTCCGATTCAATACATATTTTCACTCTTTTTGGATGCTGTGGGGCTTTCAAGGAGAAAATTGCCATGTGGCAAAATTAATTGAAACTGGCTTAAGGATCTAATCTTCAGAGGGGGGACGGAGACAGATGTGTTTTTTTTTTATTTCTCCATTTTTTTAGTCAACAAACTTTTTATTCCATGTATTCTTAACATTGAGAACCATATTTTCACACCAGGCAGTCACCTTTAATGCTGAGCTCACTTGCTGGCCAGACCAACCGGGTAATCCAGGCCTGCTACCAGTCTGTATACATTCCTTCATACCTCTGTATGCATGTACTCTGTGTGTGGCCTTCATGTCAACTTTCTACTGCTATTTCTTACCAATATCCTGGCCCACAAGTAACCTCAGGAGCCTTTTGGCTGGTTAGGCCATACATCTCTAGGCAACGCCTACTTGTGGGCAGTTGAGTGTGGAGGAGATGGGGCTTATGCGAAGAATTGAGAAAGCGTTTCGGTGTACGGCTGTTAGGTGTCCTTTCTCACTTTGTAATGTACAGGTGTAACAAATTCTGTGTTGTTTCAGTAGCTCTGGTTGGTGGTGGTGTGGGGGGGGGGGTGGGCATGGGGATGGGCTGGTGGTGTGGGGGGGTGTGGGGGGTGGGG